AGCCGGGTAGAGACATATGTTAAAGCCCCCCTTCTCACCTTGCGATAAGGTAAATGGAGTGACAGAGGGAAAGCCAGGTAGAGACATATGTTAAAACCACCACCCCTTTGCACCTTGCCATAAGATGGATGGAGTGACAAAGGCAAAGCCAGGTAGAGACATATGTTAAAACACTACAGTTGTTATATGTTTTATTTCAAGGACCCCAGACAGGGTACCCCTAATTTGGGGAAACCCATCGCACATATCCATATATACATATACCCAAGAAGGGTATTTTGAGTGTGTTGGGGACTTTCGGTGCAACATCTCCTTTATCCACCGTATGAGGGTCCCCAAAAATCAGGTGTCGTTTGGAATGGTTACACGTTCCCCTTTCGTTGTATGATGGAGCCGCCTCAGAAACCATGTTGGGCTCCTAGCGTTTACGCTACACCCTAAACCCTAAACCTCGCCCTAGCGTAGGGTTCCGGGACAGAAGTCACAGCTCCGATGAACTCCGCATGAGCAGGGGGTGTGTTATTCAGGAGCCCTTTGCACTGCGCACAGCCTGCCTTGGCTAAAAACAAGTGAGCGCTGAGGGCTTAGAGGGCTCAGGGATTAGCTAACCCCAGTAGAAATCCCCTTCGGGGGTAGAGTAACTACTGTACACACAAAGTAAGGTCTGGCGCCTATTGTCCATGTTTCCCGACTCTGGTCTATATTTCCCGACTCCCGCCTCTCTTGTTTCCCGACTCTAGCCTCCTTGATTCCCGACTCTAGCCTTCCTGGTTCCCGACTCTCTCCCTGCTTATTCCGACTCATGGCGCCCGACTTTTCCAACACCCACTGCAGCATGAACCTTGTGTGGGAATGAGTTTTTGTGGTTGGCGCCCACTGCAGCGTGTAGGCTTTTCCGTGCCGTGATGTGTAGTACAATCCAAAGTATCAGTGCTGCTTGGGAGCTTCCCTTACCATAAGCATTTAAGAATTTCCAGAGTCCACACGAGAAAATGTGTCTGAGCCTTCCCAATGTTGTATGATCAATAGATTGATGTTTCCTTGTTCATCCCGTGTTGGCTTGTCTCCAGGGACGATTTTGGTTGATTCGTCGAAATGTTGAAGCTCTTGAAGTGAAGGGTGCCGCAAAATGAGTTCGCTTCAAATGAGGCGTTCGTGTTCGCGTTATGTTGACAGTTGCCATTTTTTATGTGTTCCTGTCAGAGTTAGGCCGTGTTGTTCAATATCATTCAGCCAGTCAGGCTGCAATAGTGTTTGTGCGCATTGCTGCATGTCAGCGTAGGCCAACAAGTTTTTTCATTCGCGTCACATTCGCACATGCTTGCTGATCAAGTGCTTTGTTTATTGCAAACCTACCAAGGTGGTTTCAAAACGTGACGCGTTGCCCAACCTTGTTGTTACAACATGTTGCATGGGACTCACCTTTGTTGTGACATGCGCGAAATTCAGGTCCAGCTGGGAACAGTTGCACATACCGTCGCATGGTTGACATGGCCCCGAAATGCCATTTTTAATTGGGACAAGCAGAGTTCTTATGAATTTGGTTGGCAAAACCTACTAAAGGTATGTGTTGTTCTGCTATCAATTTTCATTTCAAAGCCTGCGCAACCATGGTGCCATGATTTCTCTGAGCCGGCCTTCATATAGCGCCGTGGGCATTGCAGAAGAAGACTTGCAGAGTTTGTGGAGGCTGATTGTTGTTATTGTTGGCATTGAACGCCTGAGGTTGGCAGCTTGTGCGGGTTTGCCCTGTAATATGGGAATATGGGTGGCAACCCTAGTTTTCACATTGTGTGGTCTTTTTGTTCAGACATTTCCCCACAAAGTTTTCTCTGCCGAGGCGAGCAGGACATGGCGTCGATTATTTGCCAGCGAACAAGACTGCAAGTGCAAACCTTGGAGCAGAAGGTAAGCTCTGTTTTGCATGTTTTCGATTTGACCATGGAATGCGTGGACGATTCCGTATTGAATTTGTCGAACGCATGCGGAATACAGAGCAGTGCTGTGCTCAAGAATTTGGTGACCAGGCAGCTTTGTGCTAAAGGTTTGGAGCATGTCTGCACAGCTCGGTCAAGCGTTGTCCCAACGGAACTTGCAGAGACAAACATTCTTTTTGCATGAAAGGGTGCGCAAAGCAAGGAGGCGACTGACCTACAAATTGTTGGCATTGTTTTGGTTTGATCAGCGTGACCGCGCGTCAGCTCATTGAGAACTGACAGGCAATTTGCATCCAGGCAGTCAATAGTTGGACATGCTAGACGGCCTCGCTGACTCAATCAGGATTGTGATCGTTGGCCTGAATAATGCTGGCAAGACCACGATCCTGTACAATCTACATCTTGGCCAGGCAGGGATATTGAAAGCATTTCGACGTGTGGGCATCTTTCCTTGGACATTCACTCACGTACAACTGCAGGTGGGTGGTTACCTGGTGCAAAGTTCATATGGTGCTTGTATACGGACCAGGGGGTTAATTCCATGAAGCCTATGTTGGCCTGCTATGAAGATATTTCCTGACAACTACCCACCTGAAGATCTCCGTCATAAGAATTGCAACAAAATCAGCTTGATTCGGAGCACGTGTTGTCCTGGGATGTCGAGTGAGGTGGTCCTGACACAACCAACGATCGGAAGCAACGTCTGCTGCCTGGGTGTGAACAGAGGTTTTTCTCAACTTGTTCATATTGAGTCTAGCTAAGTACAATCACAGCTGACCAGGTGGAAGAGGTGAAGCATGAGAACTTGACTTTCCAGGTCTGGGATCTTGGCGGGCAGGAGACCAAGTAGAGTAAAGTGTTGCAGTCTTTGTATTCTGGTTTGCGTTTTTTGGGTAGCTTGCAGGAGAGCCTGAGATCCAACTGGTCCACGTACTTTGAGGACCAAAAGATTGTTTTCAGTTTTGGTGAGTGCGCGCCATCATACAGTAGGGTTGAGCATTTTCAACATTGTGTCGAAATAGTCTGCAGCATGGGCGGCATACTTTTCTGGCAACCTCTTTCTGAGACTCCAAATTCAGCAAATTGGTGCTTGAGGAAGCTGATGCAATCATCTTCGTGGTGGATAGCAACGACCAGGACGGTGCAGCATTTTGCAAACAAAGCTTGATATGATGTATTCCTTCAGATATCAGACGACAGGCAGAATCTGCAGCAAAGAAGATGCCATCAACGCATCTTCAGCTCTCAAGCCTTTATCTTTCAAGCTATGTAAGGCTTCTCCCGCAGGTTTGCAGAAGTACTTAGCTGTAGGTCGGGTCAGGGCTGATTGGCTGCAGCTTAGATGCCTGGGTTGTGTTTGAATGCTCCTTTTGGTCCTTTTGTTTTGTCGGCGCGGAGCATGTAGGTGGTTCATGTGCTTCGAACTGATTGTGGGTTGAGTTCGCGGCTGTCTCATTCCTATCAGTTTGTGGGGCATTTTGCAACCATTCTTCAGGTGCCTCATTTCAGCGCCTTCTTCTTTTCTCCTTACGCTCACCCTGTGATGAGGACAACATGGTCTTGGCAAAGATGGAACTGTTCAATGTGGTTCTGCATGAGGAGCCTGGACTAGGCAAGGTGTTGCAGGCCCTTCCAGCCTTCACAATTCTGTGAGCCTGGGTGGCTAGGGTAGGACTCATTTGAGTAACTATACTGCCCCTTGTTGAAAAAATTGCAAAGGTGCCAGGCTTTCAAAAGAAAGGTGTGGAAAACTGGGCTCCAAATGCTGCTGGAAGGCTTGCCAGCCGCAAAAGTAGTGTGAAACCGGCACCCTGCAGCTCCAGCAGAGCAGCGTGGGTCGCTGCCGTCCGTCTGCAGGTCAGGATAAAGTGACAGGGTCGAGGAGCCGCACCAGGGCTGAGGCAGTATGAGGCTGTATGAGGCGGCGTGTTAGGCTTCTGTGGATCCAGTCCGTAAGCAATGACTGACTCAGTTTTTTAAAGATTAAGAACATAGACATGGCCCGCCGAGTCCCCAAAGGTGAATTCCCAGCAGGCTTTCCATGGACGCAGCATGGATAGGAAGATGTGCCTCATCATCCATGACTGGTTGCAGGACCTGAAGCATGCTTGCCTTCTCGTTCTTGCCAACAAGCAGGATTCCTTCTGCTTCTGCTGCAGCTGAGTTGAGAAGTCGGGCCGATCGCTCTGCAGGACATTCAGGGCAGCCGCAATTCTGGAGAGGCCTTGGCTGGCCATGCAGGGGCTCAGAATCCACGTTGTCCGGCCAGATTGCTCAAGATCTGTCGCTACACAAGATCCTCACGCACGAGTGGCAGGACGGCTAGTTGTGCTCGGATGTGCTATGAAGACTTGGTCGGCTGAGTGCTTGGGGTAAGATCCTGTCCAGCTCTTTCGATGCAGATTCAGAGCTGCTGTGCTTTGACGGGAGAAGGACTCCGCGAGGCGCCATTGAAGTCAGCACGCATGCTGTCACACAGGAATCTTTTCTATCGCTTCCTTGATGTTGGGGGCTCCCAACATGTCGATTCAGTGGAGCCTGCCTCATGTTCTGAAGTTTTGGCCCTGCTGGCAGGGCATGACCTGGATTGCGGGCCGAATCCGGGTGTGCTGCTGAGCTTCGAATCATGTAAGCTCAGAACCTGATTCAAGTGCTAGATGGCTGTATTGTACTCCTTGAAGCAAATGTTCAGAGGCACGCCGGGGCGGAGAGGTTTCTTTACCACGGACGCAGCAAGCGGTGAGCTAGAAAGCAGCGGTCCTGCATTCAGAAGGGCCCTTGATTTTGATGCTCCGCTGGTGCTGCGTTTGTCATGCTTGAGAATGTGTATGTTTGTATAGGCACACTCCATCTTGTGCCTTGAGCAGCCGCGGAGAAGTGAGGTACGTGGTTGCTTGGGATGACAACATCCCCAGTTAATGCCACCCATTTTCCCATGCGCAAGTGCATGCTTGCAAGGAAAAGAAGAATTCTCAGCAAAGCAAGGCTGCTTCAGTCAAACGCATTCTGCAGGTAAAATCTTCTCTTTGCAGCTGTGAGGACCTTCTAAATCTATTCTTTGCAGCTGTGAAGACCTTCTCACGGCGTCCACATGTTTCAAAGTGCAGCACTAGCTCAGACACCTGCAACCCAAATACTTTATTCCCCACATTCCTGTGGGGTTCTAGTTGTTTAGATGCACTGTCGCCCGCCAGGCCTGTGTACTTTTTCGTCGCGCAAACATTTGGCACGCGCCCTTGTTCGCTTCAAAATCGCGCTCTCGCTGGAGACATCCTCAAAAAATCGGCGTTCCATGTTGATTTTCGATCCAAAAAAGGAGACTTCGCCTTCAGAGTAGTCTTGCTAGAGGGGGTCGTATCCGAACTTGTCGCGCCCTGGTTTGAGCAAAATCGCGCTCCCGTGTGAGACATCCTCAAAATTTCGGGTTTTGCTCACTTCTTGAACATTCCAAAATTGCGCTCCCGCGCGAGACAATTCGACTTTTTTTGACGTCTAGATCATCTTTATATCTTCAAGAATCGTGCTCCCGTGCGGAGCATCCTCGCAATTTCGTCGATTTATCTTCATTGGATTCAATCAAAATGACGCTCCCGTGCGGAGCACTCGGAGAATGTTGCGTTTTGGATCATCTTCTTATCTTCAAAAGTTGCGCTCCCGTGCGGAGCATCCTCCGAATTTGTCGATTTATCTTCATCGAATTCGATCAAAATGACACTCCCCTGTGGAGCATTCGGAAAATTTGGATCATTTATGAACGATGATGTCGAGGAGTTCTATATAAATTCTATGTCAAATCAGTCCCGTTGTACTTCGTTCGAGATGGTTGTCTGGGCTCAATAGGGCGGTATTTGGCGGAGGTTTCCGGTATAGGATTGGTATAGGA